TCACCCAGGAAGAAGAGGCAGCAGTGAGGGAGCTCCCCCCGTTCGCGAAATGAAACCAACTGGGCACCACGTCCGTTGAGATTTTCAGTCTTCGTTGGGAATAAACCGATGACGGAAGCGGATTCGATTGTCCACGATCCAAATGCGGCGGTCGAGTTTGCTCGACAGATTTTTCCGTCAGAAGTTCAGCAATCGATGGTTGGCCGGCAGGATTACAAAGTTTTTCGGGAGGGCGTCCATGGAGAGGTAAAGGGACTATGCACCTCCTATGAAATCGAAATACGTCTTCGTGCCGTGCGAAGGGAGATAGAGCAAAAAGACGGTCGCATTTGGAGCTTGGAAGCTCATGCAGAGAAAGCCGAGAATGAGCTAAAGAAAGCTAAAGCTTCTGAAACTTAGTCGGCGAGTCAGGTGAACCCGATTATCGCGAAAAGAGTAAACCAACAGCTTTTGGGTCATGCGATTGCTGATCGGGACACAGTGAGCATGTTCGCAGAGAAGCAATAAAAACGAGGGCCTACGAACAAGGCTTTTTTTACGACCCAAAAATCGGTATTGAAAAGACGAAGGAAAAGTTAGCCGAGAATGTATATCAGTGTGAAAACCGTGGATTTAAGCATGAGTGGATCAAGGCTCTTCAGGTCGCGGGTGTCGATTCGGAGTCACCTCTATATCATAATTACAAATTTCCATTCGAAACTTACGATGCCGAGAAGACAAACAATGAAGAGGGTGCTGATTAAATTTATATGTTAATACACATTGTACTTTTGAGTTTGTCAAAGCCATGTATTTTTGCTTTATTTAATGAAAAACGTATTTGTTGTATTTACGCTTTATTTAATGAAACACAAGTTTGTATTCCGATTAATGTTTGTACTTCGACCCAAATGTGACATTCACGGATGGGGCTTCGAATTCGGAGTCTTTTGGCCAATCGTGACATCCATGAAGGGCACTCCAAATTCGGAGGCTTATTCGGCCCAAACGTGGCATTCACGGATAGGGCTCCGAATTCAGAGTCTTTTGTTTTTGGCCAATCGTGACATCCACGAAGGGCATTCTGAATTCGGAGACTTATTCAGCCCGAACGTGACATTCACGGATGGGGCTCCAAATTCGGAGTCTTTTGTTTTTTGCCAATCGTGACATTTACGAAGGGCGCTCTAAATTCGGAGGCTTATTCGGCCCAAACGTGACATTCACGGATGGGGCTCCGAATTCGGAGTCTTTTTGTTTTTAGCCAATCGTTACATCCACGAAAGGCGCTCCGAATTCAGAGGCTTATTCGGCCCAAATGTGACATTCGCGGTTGGGGCTCCGAGTTCGGAGTCTTTGTTTTTGGCCAATTGTGACATCCACAAAGGGCGCTCCGAATTCGAAGGCTTATTCGGCCCAAACGTGGCATTCACAGATGGGGCTTCGAGTTCGGAGTCTTTGTTTTTGGCCAATCGTGACATCCACGAAGGGCGCTCCGAATTCAGAGGCTTATTCGGCCCAAACGTGGCATTCATGGATGGGGCTCCGCATTCGGAGTCTTTGTTTTTGGCCAATCGTGACATCCACGAAGGAGCTCCGAATTCGGAGGCTTATTCAGTCCAAACGTGACATTCACAGATGGGGCTCTGAATTCGGAGTCTTTTTGTTCCCTGCTAAACCATTACTAATGTGACTAAGGTAAAAAAGACATTGCATTGGGGAATTGAAAGATGTATACATAGCATTTCAGCGTAAATTCAAAACAAGCTAGCGTGCCGTACAAGTTGGTCTAATGATAAAATTTGCGCAGATGTGTGGAATTCTAGGGGTGTGGCAAACTTCTCCCAGCCATGTCTTTAAGTCGATATGCCCCAGTTTCAGCGATTGAATCAACCTGATAAGGGCCGCCCCAGTTGGGGCCTAACTTTCCATCAGCAGAATTCTTAGTAGCGGGAAGCACTTTCTTGAGAACCAATTCTATAAGCGTGTAACGACCCAACTCTACGTGCTGATTATATGATTTAGCAAGTTGTTGCTGATACCGCGCCATGCAAGCAAGGGTACGATCTCAGCGTTCTTCAATCAAAGTCAGGTCCAAAGCCAACATCATGTCATTACGGCCCATGTCAAAAACCTTGGATTTCAGCATGGGTAGGCTGATCTCCAGGGGGATAATTGACTGGGTTCCGAAACAAAGCAAACGGTGTTTCCCCAGTGGACCGCCTTGGAGTAGTGCGATGAGCCCACAACACACTAGACAATTCTTTAACCCATCGGCCTTTAGTTTTTTCCAACCTTTCCTTGATGTCGTCTAGGATGATTTTATTGGGGGCCTCCACTTGACCATTGCTTTGTGGATATGCCAGCGAGGAAAAGTAGGGTCAGATACCATACGTGTTGCATAACTCTCAGTAGACGCCACAATCAAATTGGGTACCGTTGTTCGAGACAAGTGCTCTTGGTATGCTGAATCGTGTTATGCTATTTTTCCATACAAAACGCTTAACGTCGACATCTCGAATATGTGTTAACGCCTCTACTTCGACCCATTTTGTGAAATAATCTGTTACAACAATCAAGAATCGCTTATTCCCTGGAGCCCGTGGTAATGATCCGACGATATCAAGTCCCCATTAAGCGAACGGCCAAGGGCTAGTGATAGAGTTTAACTCCTCGGAAGGCAGATGAGTTAAAGAGGAAAACTTTTGGCATTGTTCACATTGCTTGACATAACACTCGGCATCCGTTCGCATGGTCGGCCAATAGTATCCCTGTGTTACGGCTCGGTGGGCCAATGAGCGTCCTCCACAATGAGCACCGCAGCTACCTTCATGTATTTCAACCAAGAGTTCCTCAACTTTATCTGGGTGAACATATTCTAAGTACGGCCCAGAAAGAGATTTTTTGTAGAGCTTCCCATTTGGATCCAAGTAGTATCGCAGGGCTTTATTTCGCAGTTTGTAAGCTTCTTTCTTATCCATCAGGAGTTGTTCTGAGGAAAGGAATACAGCGATAAGGTCTATCTAATTTGGACCTGGTGCAATGATGTTAATCGGAACTGGTTCAAAAGAGGCAATGCTCGCCTCAGGGATGAATCTTACTTCAAATGTCCGTTTGATTTCTTAGTTGACGGCAGAGGCTAGGCAAGCAAGAGCATCCGCATGCGTGTTCTGATCCCGAGTTATTTGGTTCAATTGGTGGTGGTCAAATTTCGTGAATAAGGAGTTTGTCGTTTCCATGTAAGCTATCATGCAGTCATTTTTAGCAGCATACTCCCCTTTCAACTGGTTGATCACCAATTTCGAATCACAAAAGACAAGCAACTGCCGCGCACCAAGGTGAAGTGCATTCTGAAGGCCGGTTAGCAATGCTTCATATTCGGCCTCGTTGTTTGATGCATCAAAGCCCAGTTTGACCGCCTGCTCGATTATTGCCCATTTGGAGGTCATGATTACTATACCCACCCCACACCCGCGTTGGTTGGATGACTCGTCGCAATACATTTGCCAAATGTCTCCAACATATATTCTCCAGTTGGATTTATGTTGCACTTGATCAGACTTGAAGTCAGGGAGAGACCCCGTGAATTCGGTTACAAAGTCGGCGAGCACTTGCCCCTTTATGGAAGTTCTGGACAAAAACTGGATATCATACTGGCTGAGTTCCAGAGGCCATTTCGAGACGCACCCTGATGCTTCTACGCTACGGAGCGCTGACCGGAGGGGATAGTCCGTTAGTACCCCTATGGTATGCCCCTGAAAGTAATGCATCAGCTTTCTTGCGCCCATGACGAGAGCAAGGATGAGCTTTTCCAATGGAAGATAACATATTTTGACGTCAGCCATTGCTTTACTTACATAGTAGACCGGTCGCTGCTCCCCAAGTTCTTCCCTTAATAGTACGGCGCTGACCGCCCGGTCAGATACTGCCTAATACAGAATGAGCGGATCGCCTGCCAAAGGTGTTTCCAAGAGTGGGACTGATCGGAGGTAAGTTTTCAAGCTGTCCAAAGCAGCCTAGCACTCGGGAGTCCATTCAAAAGCTTTTCCTTGCCAAAGTGTGTGGAAGAATTGTCGGCAGCGGTCTGTGGAACGACTAATAAACCTGTTGAGCACGACGGCCATTCCCATCAGCTTCTGAACCTCTTTGACTGACCGAGGAGAGCCAAGTTCTAGAATTGCTGTTATTTGCCTCGGGTTAGCTTCGATTCCGCGGTGGTTAACAATGTAGCCAAGGAATTTATCGGATCCGATGCCGAATGCACACTTTGAGGCGTTCAGTTTCATTTTGTACTTTCGAAGAATGCCGAATGTCTCTGCCAAATCGGCTAGATAGGCATGTTTTTCCTTAGATTTGACCACCATGTCGTCGATGTACACTTCCATGGTGCAGCCGAGCTGTTCCTTGAACATGGCAGTAACTAGTCTCTAGTAAGTTGCCCCCGCATTCTTTAGCCCAAAAGGCATGACCTTGTAGCAATAGGTCCCTCTTAGGGTAAGGAATGCGGTCTTTTTTTGGTCCTCCGAATGCATGGCAATGTGATGATAGCCTCTGTAGGCGTCTAAGAAGCTCATGCGTTGATGATGTGCCGTTACATCTACGAGTTGGTTTATTCTAGGGAGAGGAAAGCAATCCTTGGGACAAGCTTTGTTTAAATCCGTGAAATCCACATAAACACGCCAAGATCCATTCTTCTTCTTTACAACTACGGTATTGGATAGCCATGTAAGATATGTTACTTCGCGAACTGCCCCGGCATCAAGCAATCGGTTAACTTCTTCGACAACGGTCGAAGCATGCTCCGCGACTGACCGCCGACTTTTCTGAATAATTGGCTTACATTTTGGATCAACGTTTAAGCGGTGTTGGGCCACAGATGGATCCACCCCTGGCATCTCGTATGGTGTCTATGCAAACGCGTCGAGGTTGCTGAGTAAGAAGGATACAAGCTCGTTCCTATCAACTTCGCTCAGGGAAGTGCTGATCGTGAAGAATTTGTCAGGACCCCCATTAATTTCGACTTAATCCAGATCTTCAGTTGCCTTTTCACTGGGGATCTTCCCAATGTCCTCAAGGCTTTCCCAATCCGGTATTTCAATCGAATTCACTTCCAGTTCTTTTGCCTTCTTCGCAGCAACAAGAAGATGGCATGCATGTGCCGATTTTTTAGAACCCCAAATTTGTTCAATTTTGCACTCAATCGAAAAACGAAGTAACTGATGGTAAGTGCTTGGTGCGGCTTGCATGATATGTAACCAAGTTCTTCCTATGATGAGATTGCATGGTGAAGGAAGTTTGACAACCAGAAACTCTACATCTACCGATCTGGTGCTTGCCCGAACTGGTAGTGTGATTTTTCCCAAAGGATACTCCGGGTTAGCGTTGAAGCCGAATAATGGGCAATCGGCAGGCAACAAATCCAAGTCCATTAAGCCGAGTTTAACGAACGCGTTGTGGTACATTATTTCTGAAGTGCTTCCCTGATCGATGAGAACACGTTCAATGGTGAATCTGTTGATGTGTAGCTTAATGACGAGGGGATCGATGTGTGGGAGAGTCACTCCAACTAAATCGGCGTCATCGAAACTGATCCTCCCAGTTTCATAGGGCCGTTTTGCTGGTGTGATCGGCCTATAGTGGCTAGGTTGTAACTGAACTGTCTGTATCTCGTCTGACGATGGCAGGCTATATATCATGTGAATTACACCAAGTGGAGATTAATCTGGCCGTAGGGCTACTGTGTTCGATGGATTATTCTTTCGGACGTGTTGCGCCAGCCTGCCGTCTTGTACCAGTTCCTCTAAGTGGTCCTTCAGGGTATAACAACTGTTGGCGTCATGACCATGGTCCTTATAGTACTCACACCGCTTGTCCCTTCTCCGAGTATCAGGAGGTCCAATCATTTTGGGCGGCCATTTAAAGAATGGAAAGTGTTGAACTTTCGATAAAATCTTGCTGGCCGGCTCTGCTAACTCCGTGTACTTTTTGTCCGAGCATCTTGTGCGCCTGCTATCCACTTGATATTGTTCATTCGATCGGTGTGAACACTGATCATTTGATTGGCGCGAGTCACGCCTTCTGTCTCGTTTAGCCCGATTCTGCAGTTTGGGGCTCCTCGATGGCACAACGCTTATCGGATGAACGATTTCAGGTGGAGCCGTCTTAACAGCTTTCTGTCCGGCTTTGACCCGTAGGGCATCGTCTTCCACTTTGCAATATTCCTCGACTTTCTTCATTAATGCCCAGACTATTTTAGAGGGCCGTCTGGTCAATGAACTACAGAGGGGACTATCAGGATGTAATCCCATCTTAAAGGCGGTGATGGCCATGAAGTCATTGCAGGCGTCATCTACAAGGTTAAAGCATTCCCAATAGCTTGCCGAATATTCACGAAGGGTTTCTTCTGGTTTAATTTGCATTGCCCAGAGAGAATCGGCTTGCTTTGGCTGGATTTCATTGGTAATGAATCTTGCCCTGAAGAATTTTTGGAGTTGATGGAAGCTTTTAATCGATACCGACTCCAGTTTATAGTACCATCTGACGACCAGTGGTCTCAGACTGCTCAAAAACATTCGACACATGAGGGCTTTATCGTTAGCATGTAGCGTCATCGCCTGTTTATAATGACGAATATGATCAGTGGAGTCCGATTTTTCGTCGTACAGGGTGAACGACGGTGCTTTGAACTTCTTGGGTAGCACTACCCTTGCAATTCGTCGAACAAAAGGGTCATGCTTGTCTTCTTCATCTGAATCATCACTTCTTCTTTCTCGCTTGTGCCGTACATACGGACTTCCTTCGGATGAACTGGATACATCGACTCGTCCCTTCTTTCTGGGTTCTAAGGATGGTGAATCAGAATCACTGTCATTATTGTGTTTTTGAAATCGACGTCGTCGATCATCCTTCTTTCCTGAAGGTCGACCCCGGTTATAGCATGCGGCCTGTTAGGATTTCCCCACCTCCAGGGCCAACTCCTAGCGTAGGCGCTCGTTCTCAGCCATCATATTTTCCAGACGTTGTTCATTTTGCTTTGCTTGGTCCATGATTGTCTGCATTGTCTCATGCGCTGATGTCGAGGGTGAGGTCTGGGCTACTGAGTCGAAGTTCAAGGCCTATCGTGCGGCGATAATCTCTGGTCCAAGCATGTTTCTTGGGGTGATGTCATCTCTTGGCGCAACGTCGTCAGCGACTACCAGAGGATCATCTGTTACGCCCGCCATGGATGTGCTTGAGTATTCCCACAAACGGTGCCAATTATGGAGAAGTGGTTTGGAAATACTCCAAGATCCAGTAGGCGTTCTTGATCCTCTGATTACCACCTAAAAAGGATGAGCACTCCGGTCGGGGGTGCCGGAATCAGCACTCCGACGGCCAAGTCAGTATCCTCTCAAGTTTACTTCTATCTCAAGTTATTTTATCTGTTCTCACATACCTTTCTTTGGTCGATGTTCCTCTATTTATACTAGTATCTGGTCCCAAGGGTCGAGCCCACTCTTAATCCAGCGCATAACCGCTTAATCGGCCTTTCAGTCATATGCCAATTTCTATTTGGCTCCCTGTATGGCCGATTGCACGGTCGACTTAGATATTTGGCTTTAAGACCCCTTTGGACAGAGCCGAATAGTCTCTGTCCTGATTTTCCTTCAAACAAATCTGGCTTTCCTTAGTATATGATTATTCGGCCCCCATAACTATTAACTTAAGTCTATTGAAATTGGTGTCTTATTGATTGACTACTGTATACCCGTGCCTTCAGGCACGGTTAAAATATTGTTTGAATGAAAATGTAATTGAATGTAAAATTATAGGTAAATGAAATAGTGAAAAGTAAACACATAAAGGCTACGTAAAATTCAAGCACAACAAAAGTATAAAATTTTAAACAAACAACAAAATGTAAGTCGCACAACACATAAACATATAATAAAAATCAGACGAAATACATCAGCCAGTGCTCTGCAATAAATAAACAACAAATTAAGCACACCAGCCTATGCTCTGCAATAAAAAGAAAATGCCAAATAACAAATTAAGCACACCAGCCAATGTTCTGTAATACAAAAAGAATGCAAAACAACAAATTAAGCACATCAACCAAAAAACAATGACACAAATTGTGCAATGAACAATTATTTAAATAGATTAATGCGTACGCAACTCAATCCTATATGAAAATAAATTATCAACTTAATATAAAAACAACACCCTTCCTGATTAAAAATATATATATGGAAGCAAAAATTCAAACTCAACCAAATAAAAATATGATTAGTTTTCTTTAACCTAATTCAAGAGCATATTAGGAAGAAAAAACAAAAAAACAAAAAAAAAAAGACTATCACCTAATGTGTTACATTTACGAAAACAAACTCATAGCATAAGCAAATAATAATTCAAATGAATATTATCCAACATACATCTAAACTTAGTTATAAATTTCATGTAGATAAAAAGCTTTACAAAACAATTGTAAGTAATAAAATTCACATTGATAGGAAATTTTACAAAAAAACATTTCACAAATTTACATGGCATTGTGCAAGTAGTATGTCAATTTTATAGTATATGGCACTGTGCAAGTAATATGTCAAAAAACAAAAAACGATCGAGGTTCATGCTCCAAAACAAATATTTCAAAGAAAGAACTTAAAATGAAAATGTTGAAGAGCCATAGTACTGAACATGCATTTTCCTTTCCCTTACCCGAAACGGTGGCAATTTCCTTTTCCTTTGCCTACAAAAAGTAAAAAAATATATATATTTAAAAAGTTTAAAAAATAATGTAAATAAGAATATATGGTGTTTTGAAAGAAAAAAAAATTATATAATTAAATTGGGCCTACCTCTCGAACCCTAGATGACATTAAGGTCACGTTCATCACGGATGACAACATTAGCATGTCTTTCTTGAAGAAATTTAACCTATAAATACAAAAGAATTAGAGGTAAAAAAAAATTAAAAATTTATACATCTAAGAAAATGAGAAAAAGAAGTCAGTATTATAGTTCAGCGTAGGTTTCCATCCATGTGTAAATTATAAGAAAAGATCATTTTGTTATAAGGAAATTAGATTAAAAAAATCATGAAAAGAAAAGAAAATTAACTTCAACTTATAAGACATGTGTATTTTTTTTTTCAAATAAATATAAAAGAAAACAATTTACGTGACTAAAAATAGTAATGTTGTCCATAATTAGAGATTGAAGGTCAATGGTGTCTCACCCTGAAAGTGTTTGGTTATGTAAATTTGACAAAGGTAACTGTAAGGCAAAATGAGGTTTAATAATTGCCATAAAGAAAAAATAATCAACACAAAATTAACAACCTCCTAACGTATTTTAGTTAACAACCCACTTTAAGAAGTTCGTTTATGCATGAATATCACAGATGGAGAAATTGAATTATCTAAAGGCACTGTGTAAATTATGTTAGAATCAAAATGTAGCTGTAAGTTATACACATCATGTTAAAATTTTTAGAGTCTATAGTATTTTTTTTATTTTTGATTGACACTGGAAAAATATAAAGAAATATTATTCTTCTTAAAGAACTTTTAGCAATTTTAGTAGCAAATCGGATAATAAAATATAAAAATTAATTTCAAAGAGAGGGTTACAATCAAGATGAGAAGAGCAGGTACATAAACAGAGAGATAAGATTTTTACCTTGGTGTTAAATGATTTTTGAGAGAAGAAGTGGAAAAAGTGAAGAATAAGAGGTATGTAAAGTACAGAATAAAAGGTATGCTCGTGCCTAATGGCACGATGTAAATAATATTGAGATCAAAATGTAGTTGCATAGAAATGTAATTTATCGAAAAACATACCAAAAACTTAAGACATTGAGAAATATAAAGAAATATTGTTTTTAAAACACTTCCAACAATTTTGTTGGTACCACACACTCTATAGAACTGAATTAAAGATAACAACCCCTAGGCACGGGTACATATATTTGTTGTTTAATCATAAATATTTCATTTTCATTATTCATTCGTTACCAAATAATACCAACCAAAGCTATTGTATATCTATCAATACTTTACAATAAATAAATAAAAAATGTACTAAACACCAAATGAAGCACACCAGTCAGTGATATGCAATCTCGAAAAATAGAATTCAAAATTAAACAACAAACACTACACCAGACAGTGCTCTGCAATTTCAAAAAATTAAAATTAAAAATAAATACCAAATAATACACACCAGCCAGTGCTCTGCAATTTTTTAAAATGAAAATTAAAAATAAACAACAAACAATGCACACCATCCAATGCTTTGCAATACCAAAAAATTACTAAACACCAAATAAAGCACACCAGTCAGTGCTATGTAATCCCGAAAAATAGAATTCAAAATTAAATAACAAACAATGCACACCAGCCAGTGCTCAGCAATCTAAAAAAAATTAAAAATTAAAATGAAACCTTATAGAAGAAGAGATTCAAGACTTTCCGAACTTGAATATGAGACTGACCTATCACTTGGAGAAAATATAAAATTTTATTTAGAAGGAACTTCTAGAGGGAAAAAGCTGTGTATTTAAAAAATATCTATAAAAAAACAACTATTTTTCAAAAAAAATATTTTTTAATATAGAAGTGAATGTAATCAGATAAACCCAAAATAGCATTGGAATAACAATTTTGTCTCAATATCTTACCATATTGTGACCAGATGTACTAGAAGACAAATTTTATGGTAAAATGTTTTATGAAAATTTTCATAATATCTCTATTTAATCAGATGTCTTATGTAAATTTTATGTAGATTAAGGTTCAAGCACATGATTAGGGTTTATCCTAGAGCACATGAAATAAACAAAATGGGTTCAAGCACTGATTCTCTCGGGTAGTTAACAATCAACAGCTAAGAACCTGAAATGTCCGAGAATATCAATTTAAATTTAGATAGGAATTTGAAAAAGAAAAAGAAAAGATGAGGGAAATATAAAGTAATTATGATTCAAACACAACCTTACATACCTAAGCAAAATTATTTTTGTTGATGAAATGGTACCAATCCAATCTTAGATTAATAGGCTCTTTTCAAATGCATGCTCTTTTCAACTATCAATTAATAACCACATAAATGTGCCAAAAAGCATGAAAAATCATTTCTATGAACATATAAAGAAACAATCTAAGTTGAAGGTAGCAAATAGCAATTAAGCGCAATGACTGTTTCAACCTTCCATTTTGAGTGACAATTTTTGAACATGAAAAATCCATTCATAGAAAAAGACTTATCTCATCTCAGAGCAGAAAAACAAATAAAAGTCACCCATTCATAGAAACACATTTCATTGCAAAAGATTTATCTCATCCCATAGTAACCTATTTCATAAATCGAACAATTTTTTTCAACCCATTTCATATTCATATAATTGAAGTCAAAACCATAAAGAAACACAAATATTTATGCCCAACTCAAGGAAAAAAAATTCAATCAACACTACATAAACAAACCTGCTTAAATGGTAACTAAAATGATGTATGACAAATAATAGGGAACTAATAATTAGACCACGCAACCATATGACAAAACAAATGTTTTGCAATAAGAAATGAGTATACATGTTTTTAAAAAAATTTCGTAAACTAAACAACTTAATTCCCAATAGAAGCCAAGCATCCTATGAAAGAATTGGGATACCTTTAATGGGTTAACATGGTGCATTGAAATGCTACGACCAGCAGCTGCACACACACGCGCGCGCGCGCGCACACACACACACACACACACACACAAATTGAAAAATCAAATAGCTCCAACTATCAAATCCTCCCATAAACAAAATATGAAACCAACCCTTTTGGATCCAATTGGTTTGCTCATGGGAAGCAGCCAACCCACTACCAAAAAAAATAAAAATAAAAATAAAATTAGATTCAAAACGCAAACTCTTCGCTTGGCAAATCAATACAGCAAACGCTAACTAACTTAAGTCCCCCATCATCTACAAATCAATACAGCCCAAAAACCCCCATTTAGACTTACCCAAAAATCGAAATCACCCAGTCATATTCATTTTGCTTCCAACCTTCAACTGAAAATTGTGAATACGTCTCAATCACCCCCCCGCAGAATTGCCAAAGCAACAATACAATTCATAAGACTATTGACACCATAGGTCCATAACCATGTTTATATCAGCAACCTTTACATGAAGAAAAACAATACCTGCTCAAAATGGAGGAACCCCACAAAACATAATTCCGCTTCAAAACCTTTGGGGCCATATAGTATAGACTCCCTACTATCTTTGAAAACTTCTCCCCTGAATGAAGATGTAAAGGAAGTTTAAAAAATCATCAAAGAACCCACTCAAACCCCATAACATTCTCAATTAAAATATTCAAAGTGACCAATTAAATTAAGAATAACAAATGCATGGAAATAATGAAAAGAATGTCTAATCATTGCCCAAAACATACACCAAGGAATAACAAATGCATGGAAATAAAGGAACTTTTGGTTCTTTTGCTTAAGGCCCAAAACAACAGTCAAATGAAAACATACACCAGGAAAGGAAAGGAAAAATGAAAATAAATATTGGCCAGGGAAAAAAAATAAAAGACATGAAAGAGAAGCTCAGACTTCACCATTCAAAAATCCATGCATAACACAATCCTAGTGAAACATAACATGACTAAAGATATAAAGGAAGACAACACACCAAGGAAAGATACATGCCCTATTTGTGGGTAAATGGTAGCACCAATTTACAAAACTCATCCATGCCATGATGGATATAATTAACCAGTAATCAGGGAAAGATCGATTTAAAATGCTTAGAAATTGGATTATCTACATAGGCCTCTTAAATGCTCAGATGAAAAATCCATATGGAAAAATTCATTAACAATACTGTAACCCATATGAAAATTTCCCAAAATTTCAGCAATTTTTTAATTAAAAAAACACTAAGGATAGAGAAAAGTGATTGATAGCATGCTGGTTATTAAGTGAGGATAGAGAAAAGTGAAAAATATAAGGAATAAAAATGCGAACATGATCTCTTGCTATTAGAGAGAAAATGGAGGTTAACTAATGACCCGTACCCAAAAATAATCTCAAAACACATACAAAGTTTGAACTATCCATCACAAAAATATAATTCTAACATCGAAAAACACATACAAAATATAATTCAACATATCACTAAAACTAACATCGAAAAACTGTTTGTAGTATGATGTGTTTTTATGCTCGAAACTTTGGTACAACAATTATGTTAAATAAACACACAAAAAATGTGGACAAAAGAACAATGCATACAACAACACAACTATAAAAAGAACACACATACAACAACACGCATGAGAAAGAGTAAGACGTGAATTGGAACTAATTAAAAGGAAGCTACCATCCATCAGTTGAACCTCAAATATCCAAGTAGATCATTTTCAGAGAACTTTATTTTTTTAACACAAAAAATAAAATAAAATAAATAAATACAAAGTGAATAGCTGAAACAAAAAAGGGAAAGCCATCAATCACCAAGAATTTGCCTAACATTTAAGAGGGTACTTCACCAACATTAAGGGTTGAAAGTGAAACCACCTTCTTCTTCACTTATGAGGTACCATTATGCATAGTCATCGAATTAAAAGTATAAAGCATGTTTAAACTACTTCAAGCATAAAGTAAATTTATGCCATCACTCATTACTCCAGGATGACTAACTAATAACATAGATGGTCTACTGAATTAATTTAGTTACAAAACCAAATATTTGAAGAAAAAAAGAAACAGCGAATTGGCTTAAAACTGGCTCTTGTTACTCTAGACCACTTTACTATTTTCCTTTTACAAATTCTTTCTAGACCTCATTGAGCCAATCTCAGCATTATTAATAGTCTTACAAAATAACTGGCAAAGCTAAAAATATAATTTTTTTTTTTTTATCACAACTTACAATCCTCACTCTAAAAGTAAAATAAAAAAATGGGAGGAGAAGAAGAAGAAGAAAGAAAAAGGAAAAAAAATAAAGAAAGGAAACTGTAAAAAATAACAGACGATTTTCACCTAATGAAACTAAAATATATTGAGTTAAGAGTCACAAGGGTAAAGGGAAGAAGAAGAAAAAAAATTGACTCTAACCCATCCAATCAAAATTTTAATTTATTACAATCACATTTGTTTGTCACATCTATTTTAAAATGAATATACAATTGTGCCTACAGTGTCTAAATTTTAAAATGAAAATTTTAATTGATTATTAGCACTGGTAGAGTTATAGGGTATGAAAAAAGTAATAGGCAAAGTTATTTTATTGAATCAACAAAATCTAAATTTCTCTTCCACCCCCAAAAAAGAAACTCAATAAATAAACTTCTAGTTCCCCAAACAAAGATCCAAAATTGTCAAGAAAAAAAAAAAGAAGCTCACATCTATTTTAAAATGAATATACAATTGTGCCTAGTGTCTAAATTTTAAAATGAAAATTTTAATTGGTTATAAGCACTGGTAGAGTTATAGGGTGTGAAAAAAGTAATAGGCAAAGTTATTTCTTGAAACTCCCCCAAAAAAGAATATACAAAGTTATTTCTCTTCCACCCCCCCAAAAAAAAACTCAATAAATAAACTTCTAGTTTCCCAAACAAAGATCCAAAATTGTGAAGAAAAAAAAAAGACTCACTTGTTCAATGGACTGTTGTGCCATTGCTCTCTATTTATTGAAACATTCACTAATAGACCTACACAACACTTCCATTCATTGTATAACTTGAATTTTTCAAGTTTAATCAAAACAAAGTAAACATCTTGTTTTTGAAAAACAATAAAATCAAACATAAAGGCATTCTAAAATTATCACAATGATTATCAGCAAAATTGTATGAAATTCAAAAATTAAAATAGAAGACCCAAATTATCACCATAAAAAAATCAAGTATTCACTCTTCTTGGTTCTGAACCTAGTTGAACAAAATTTAAGATTCTTAATTTTCACAACATATAAAAATTTAAGATTCTTAATTTTTACAACATGTAAAATGAAGCCAAGTTGAACAATAAATAAGAAACAAATTACCTAATCAACCATTGTAGCGAACAAAGCCATAACAACTTTTTATGAGCTAATCAAACACTCATTCACCAAGGCATATGTACTTGAAGCAAAAGGAAGAATAGAAAATATAAGTAAGCAAGTTCCATTGTCCATTATCTAAAATCAACTCCCTAAAAATTGCCCACTATTTGTTATTAAAAATAAGATCCAACTCCTACTATTTGATTCACCAATTGGAATATACCTCTATTTTTGTTAACGTTACCAAATATCCAAGACATGTATCATTCACTATTTGGGGGGGAAATGTAGAAAATGATAGATTCACTGACTAAGATAACTTTGATCAATTAGGACATCCACATTACCAACACTAAGTGCATGCAAGCACTGTTAATCAAACTCTCTATAGGAAAGGTTGTTTAATCATTTACTTGGCATGTCATGATAGATTCACTCACTATTTGAACAACAAAAAAGTATAATTATATAAGCAATTGGTTTAACCAAAAGAAAATAAACTATTTTAATTAAGGGATTTTACAGAACATCCAAAATTTGACCATTAAAAACAATCGCCACAACTTTCTAGCAAAATTTGCAATTAGTTACCTAACCAAAGCTAATGATCAAGAAGATAACCAACAATTTATAGCAATTAAGATAGACTCACTCCAAAATAAGAACATCAGCACTGGAACAGAACATCAGCAATTAACCAACAATTTCATTTTCTTTACTGTTGCCGCCACTTTCTCGGCAACCAAACAGGATTGAAATATTTCTGTGTTGATAACAAACAAACAAAAAAAATAAAAATAAAAATAAAAATAGAAATAGAAAAACAAACCCAAATAAAAGAGGAGGAAAAAGTGAGAGAGATAAAAACCCAAATAAAAACCCTAGATTCTTCCCAAAAAAAAAAAAACAACAAGGAGGATAACTTTCTACCTTGGAGCTGCGTAGAAAGAGAGGAGGCAGAGATTGAGGCAGATGGTAGAAATCACCACTGAGGCTATATTCCGGAAATCGTCATAGGAGATCAAACTTGTAGAGAGAGAAAGCTTGGTAGAAAGAGGAAGATGTGTGGTGGGAAGAGGAAGGAGAAGAGGAAGAGGCATAAGAGAGAATGGAGTTTCAAATTTTGAAATCAAAATCAGAGAGAGAAAGAGTGAAGATGTCTGTGTGATTCAATTCTAAGGGTGAGAAAAAATGAGAGAGAGAGAGAGAGAGAGAGAGAGAGAGAGAGAGAAACATTTTCACCCAAATGATCCCAAAAATACCAAACTGATCTAAAGCATTGATATTCACCTAAAAAAATCTGAACCATTGAAATGTCCAAAGGAGAGTGAGACATTTTCAACCATTGGATTGAATCAATCTGATGGTGTATATTTTGACAAATAGACAAAAGTCTCATAAAGATTCAAAAACCCTTCTCCCTTATTATATAGATAAGTCATGTTTAATTAAGTTGTAAGTATAGTTTGATTGAGTAGTAAGTAAAAATTCAATAAGTAATAACCAAAGTCTAATAGAGTAATAAGTGGAAATTGAAATATTTCATTGAGTAATAACTTTTTGTATGGTAGAACTTTTCGTAAATGGAAGATCTCCGGAAAACTTTACCTAGGAAGATTTCTTTTTTATAAATATACTTAGGAATATCTCTCATTTATCAACATTTATTACTAACAATAAATGAATACATTTACAAAAATTATTATTCTTTACCTATTACAACATGAACAACATTTATTAAAAACAATAAATGAATACATCTAAATTAGTTAATTAAGAAAAAATGGAAAACCTCCCAATTCATTTGCACACACTATGAACAATAGTGTCTTTCTCTCTAATTTTTTTACAAAGGATAAGTGAAAGAGGGTGATTTTGATTTTCACAAATTCAATGCATTCTGCAGGGAAGAATCTATCTATGTCTCTAACAATGTTTTATTTTAACATAATGTGGTATTTTTAGTTTATAATTTTTAAGATTTTGTTGGAATAACATTTCACCTAATTAAAGGGGAAAAAAACCATTGAATAGTAAGTGGAGTCTTATTGTGTAGTAAGTGAAATATTATTAAGTAGTAAATAGAGTTTGATTGAGTAGTAAGTAAAACACCATTAACTAGTAGGTGTAGTTAATTGAGTAGTAAATGAAATCAGATGAAATGGTAAGTCAAGTATAATGAAGTAATAAATATAGTCTCATTAAATAGTAAGTAGGGTTTAATATAGTAGTAAGCAAAACCTAATAAAATAGTAAGTGGGGTTTAATATAGTAGTAAGTCATGTTTGATTAAGTTGTAAGTCAAATTTGATGAAGTAGTAAATGGAGTATCAATGAGTAGTAAGTTGAGTAACATTGACTAGTAAGTAGAGTCTAATGAAATAGTAAATAAGTCTTATTAAGTAGAAAATCAGATTTAATTGAGTAGTAAATTAAGTAAAATGAAGTGGTGTCTTATTAAGTACTAAGCTAAGTCTAATCAATTATTATATTTTTACATTTTATTTAAAATTCATGGGTCTTGTTTAATAATTTAAAATTTATATTTCTAATTATTATTGACCATTCATTGTGACTGTACTTACAATTTGTTCTTATTCTACTTAGGGGTGTTTTGGAAACAAGCTAAAAAAACTAACTTTATAACTTTTTTACACAAAAATCACAAAATAGTCAATTTTTTTTTTTTTATACAAAAAAGGCACAAAAAGCTAAAAAGGTCAAAATATCAACTTTTAACCAACTTTCCAAAACACCCCTTACTATTCTACTTAAGAATCAATAGTAAGAGAGGTTTATTGGGTAGTAGTCATATTTGATTGAGTACAAGTCAAGTTTGTTAGAGTAGCAAATACACAATTAACGAGTAGTAAGTAGAGTATCAATGAGTAAGTAGAGTATCAATGAGTAGTAAATGGAGTCTCATTAATTAGTAAGTTAGGTTTAATTTAGTAGGAAGTAGAGTCTCATTAAGTAGTAAGTGAGATAATAGTAAGTTGAGTATAGTAAGCGAAGTTTGATTGGATAATAATTAAGTTGAATATTATTAAAGCCTAGTTTGGAAAGACTAAATAAGTGCACTTTTTGACTTTTTTTGTATTATGTGTAAAAAAAGTAGAGAGGAGATGTTGATTGATGTGACCCAAAAAAGATAAAAAGATGAAATAAGTGCACTTTTTTCTTTGTAGCCAAACTTGACCTAAGTAGTAAGCGGTGTTTAATTAAATAGTAAGTAAAGTATAACAAAATAGGAAGTAGATGCTCATTGAATAGTAAGTGGAGTTTTATTACCATTCAAAAACATAACACTTACCATTCATTCTCATTCTATTTACAACTCTTTGTGACTCAACTTACCACTTACCATCCATTTTATCACCTAGTATTATACTTACCATTTTTTACTTGTTATTTCCTAATTAATTTGTTTATGTTTATTACAAATGGAAGACAACATTGAGCAAAACAAGAATAATATTATATACTTATAGCCTTCTTTTTCCCTCCATTTCTTATCACACAGTTTCCCTTTCTTTTTTTCTTTTTCTTTCTTGTTCATCACTATGTTAGTTACTATTAACCGATTACTGAGTAAACTTTCAGATCTAGATTCAAATCTAATTCATGACTAAGATCCGACACTACTAGGCGATCACTTCAAATTCAAAATATTTTATTTTGTAATGTAAAAACGGAAATTAAAGTACCACAATTATCTGTTGCAACAATGAATGGATTGTGAAGGTAATTAGTAATTTTTGTTTGATAGTGATTACTTTTATTATTATTATTTTTTTGGTTGCAGTAATACATGTGTAGAGGTTTTCTTTTTTCATAGAGGTTTTTTCCCTCTAGATTTGTTTTTTTTCCTATGTGAAGACTCGTATCCTTCCTAAGTAAAGTTTCTCTTTATCCCTTTTGAGATTTATCTTATACTCTAATATATTTTATTAGATGACTTATTATTGGATATACAGGATATGAAATTATATTTACTAATAAAATTACTTACTATGTATAACATTACTTACTATCTAAACATCGCAAACTGCCCTCCAATCATTGGCAAGCGCTATCCCTCTTTCAACATGTGCTACATCTAGAGTCATATTCTAGACAAGGCACTGGTCATCATATCTTTCATCTCACTTCAACAGTCAATGTAATTGCTTGGTATCATTTGTCTGTGTTGCAGCTTCGACTTCAACAAGAGCACACCTTAAAGATGCAATGATCTTCGATGCTTCATCACCAAACCCCACGTTGGCCAACCTTGATTCTGTTTAGCCTGTCAACACTGCCACTCTTAACTGTTTGCATTCACAATCCGCAGCTTTTGTTGGAGTAGAGATACAATATTGGAAGAATTACAACACAAATCATGGGCAAAACGAGAAACTTATCAAGGCCACAACAACCAATCTTAAGTGGTTCAAACACTATATTGCAAGACACAAATTGCACACTGAAATGAAACTTCTGTAGTGCCAAAGCAATGAGAACTGTTAACGGATCAAAATCAAAGGGATGACTTCCTGTTAAACAAAAATGATGACTGCCATAAAAACATACATCTGAAACATCAATATCAAAATTCTAACTGTTCAGAATACCTCAAAACTCCATATATTATGTTCTTATGGCAATATCAGAGGGAATGTAAAGTTAAAAAGCAGTAAACACCAGATCTGATGACAGCTTAAGATTAAGTAATTTCATGCCTACATTCCTGGTGAAATATAACTTTGATAATTGAGAAGACACACAGGAATAGTTTGTATGTTCACCATGGTGTTGCCTTATAAGTTTTATGACGTCAACAGCAAAAAGAATTGCAAAACCCTGTCTTCAAAAATATTTTGATAGTTGACTGCTTTAATTACAAAGAAATTATCAAATCTAAACATAGATTACCACAAGGCAACAACAAAAATAAATTACAAAATATCAAATACAAAAAAAAAAAAAAAAAAATAGTAAGAGAGGTTTATTGGGTAGTAGTCATATTTGATTGAGTACAAGTCAAGTTTGTTAGAGTAGCAAATACACAATTAACGAGTAGTAAGTAGAGTATCAATGAGTAAGT